AAATGGGACCGTCTCCAGAATCTTCTAGTACCCTTTTATTTAATCCTTTACTGCTAAATTTGAACTTATAGGACTTGTTGTCATAGCAGCAATATGTCTTGCTACACAAACATAGCATTTCTGTACATCTAAATTCTTCTTTAAAAATACGCGGCTCCCACTTATCATGCTTTTTATGCGTACTGCAACACGTTCGAGGGAAGAAACTAGATTTTGCATCCGCCTTGAAAGAGTCTCCTTAGTCATTTTCCCTCCTTTTTTCCCAAGCAGCTCTCTTATCTGGTTTGATACAGTCGTATAAATTTTCTTCGGCACGTGCCAAGTAAAGTGAGTCTGTGTCCATCTCCAACTCTTCAAATTTATTCACATCACAGAACTTGTCAAAGAAGTTATAGTAGAGTTCCAACATTCTCAGTTTTGCATACTGAAGTATGAAAAAACCAACATCGGTGCTCAATGGTTGATTTCAATAAGTCCACCTCATATAAGTCCTTCTTAACGGTGTTAAGTCTCTTAAACAGTGGTTCATTGATTGCCTCATGGGTTTTTTAAGATATTTTGTGATTGTATGACTCGATCTATTCATGATCTGATATCCATACGAATAATTACCCAAAAGTTTCATTGTTTCTGCTACAACTCCTGACAAAGGGTTTTCATCTCCTTCTCTTCTAGCATCAACCACTGACTGAACGAAATTATTAAAGCATTTCCGAGGATAGGGAATACCGATGGTAAGGTTTTATGGTTTGTGTGATGGTAAGATAATGGTAAGAAAAACGTAATTTTTGGGTTTTTGTTTATTTTTTTCGCAAAATTTTTGGCGCTCGTTATCTAATTGGGAACAATTAATTGTTAATTACGTGTAGATTGTAAAATTAATATTAGGTATTTAGTTTTTTGGTGCATAGTAAGCCAATGGTAAGAGTTTTCATGCAAAAACTTGAAATTTTTATCAAAAAAATTGAAAATTGTTTCGAAAAAATTCAAAACACGATAAGATTAGCTATTATTTGACCTAATTTATTAGATAATCCTACTTTCTATCTAAATGAAACAATAATCTTAATTTCTATCTAAGCGAAACAATGCTGAAACCTACAGAGACTTCGAAAAAAATCAAATTAAAATAAAATATAAATCACTGCATAGTATAACAAGTTTACCGCAACATTTTACATTCTAATATCATAAAACCAATATAACACGGCATCATGAATATTGTTACTACACCAGATCAGTTCTTATAATTTCAATGGTTTTGTATGAATTCCATCCTCTTGTACTTGTCTTTTTGGATAAAAATAGCTTAGTCCTTTCTTTGTCTGTTCATATGTGGCCACCATATGATTTATAGTTCTGAATCCTCTGTTAGGAGATGTAAGATTAATTGCCTCATCAAGCACTCTCCTGTATTTTGACATGGGACCGTCTCCAGAATCTTCTAGTACCCTTTTATTTAATCGTTTACTGCTAAATTTGAACTTATAGGACTTGTTGTCATAGCAGCAATATGTCTTGCTACACAAACATAGCATTTCTGTACATCTAAATTCTTCTTTAAAAATACGCGGCTCCCACTTATCATGCTTTTTATGCGTACTGCAACACGTTCGAGGGAAGAAACTAGATTTTGCATCCGCCTTGAAAGAGTCTCCTTAGTCATTTTCCCTCCTTTTTTCCCAAGCAGCTCTCTTATCTGGTTTGATACAGTCGTATAAATTTTCTTCGGCACGTGCCAAGTAAAGTGAGTCTGTGTCCATCTCCAACTCTTCAAATTTATTCACATCACAGAACTTGTCAAAGAAGTTATAGTAGAGTTCCAACATTCTCAGTTTTGCATACTGAAGTATGAAAAAACCAACATCGGTGCTCAATGGTTGAATTCAATAACTCCACCTCATATAAGTCCTTCTTAACGGTCTTAAGTCTCTTAAACAGTGGTTCATTGATTGCCTCATGGGTTTTTTAAGATATTTTGTGATTGTATGACTCGATCTATTCATGATCTGATATCCATACGAATAATTACCCAAAAGTTTCATTGTTTCTGCTACAACTCCTGACAAAGGGTTTTCATCTCCTTCTCTTCTAGCATCAACCACTGACTGAACGAAATTATTAAAGCATTTCCGAGGAGAAAATTGAACAAATCGGTAAATTTTGGTGCACTGCAATCCAAGTTCCATATAAAAGTTGAAGAGAGGAGTTATAACTGTTCCATTTTCCAGCTTGAAACTAGATATCAGCATTCTCTGAGGATGCTTTAACATTTCGTTCTCGATCGCATAGTTTTTCATGTAATCTCCAATATCATCTCTTCCAACCTCAGTATTTTTGAAAATTGGAGGAAAATTCGCAAATTTTGATTTTAGCTCATCTGGAACAACTAAGTCGCACTGAACGTAGCGAAAAAGAGATCCATCTCTTATTTTTGCTAGAAGGGAGTCTGCAGAAAGAGGTCTTTTATAAGGAAAGCGGGTTCTGACCTGATTTTTGATCTCGTCATCGGTTTTGAAACTTTCCCACCATTCACACTCCCACATTTCTTCCACTTTGTATCCTTTCTCTTTATTGTATTCTCGTCGCATATCATCAATCTCTCTCTTCTTGTTTCCTCGCTCAAGATCATGTTCTGTTAAGGCGGGACGAGCTTCTTGAAGGAACAGAAGTGGTAGTAACATCAAATTGCTTCGAATACTGTTTTACAGTGATCGCAGTAACCATCAACATTAAAACAGTCGACTTTTTTCTATTTTCCAGATGTAAGAAAGCTCTCAATTTTACATTCTGGCCTTGATTCTTGTTAGAAAGACATGACCATATTCTCAAAGTTGCGAGTTCGATTATGTCTAGCCTTGAATTTCTGCATTTCAGTGTCAAACTCCCATCTCGTGTACAGTCCTGTTGGCATATCTTGACACCTTGAGAAAGTGTACAGCTGGCTTGCATCAAGTCCAACGATTGACTTACAAACATTTGATGAATTTCTGATGTATGTTTCATCAACTACAGCTTTTCAAGTAAAAACAATGGAAGTTCCAGCAGTCATGTCCTCTCTAATTTTTTCACACAAGTCTTTATCACTTTCGCAAAATGGATAAATTTTGTAATTTGTAGATTTGTGAAGACATATTTTGCTAAATTTGGAAGTGTGCATCCAAGTTTCAACATATCTATCCCCTTGTTATGATAAAACTGAATCATTTTTTGCATTGCCTCAAGAGTTGGATCTACATATTTTTTGTTGTACGACTTCAAAAAGACTTTGAACACTTTCATTCCATTTTTCTTCCAAGTCTCTTGTAAGTAATTGTAATTATCCAAACCAGATGGTGGAACATTCCTTATTTGAAGCTTTTTCAGTGCCTGTTGTTCGTCAAACCCACTTTTTCTAAGCTTCTCATAATCAATGAAATCTTTGTCTAGAGGATTGTTGTTTCTAAGTTTACTGAAAAAGGCTTCATACGGTGGCAATTCAGGAAAGTCAAATTTGTCTGGGTTATCAAACCACTCATAGGGAAAGAATCCTTTCGTTTCGCTAGCTTTATAGGCTTTGAGAAAGAAGTCCAGAGTATTTGCCCCTCCCAAAAACTTCATTATGTCGAGAAATTGTACATCTCCAAACTTGAAAAATATAAAGTCATTTGCTTTTTTGATGACGAATGTGTCTTGTTCTTTATCATGAATCAAATAGGGGAATAGGTAGGACTTGATCAAATTTAAATCATATCTACCGCTGTTAAGTCCAAAAACAGGTAAAGTATTTACATATCTCTCCAGATGTTGTTTCAAATCGATGAGTTGATTTTTCTGAATTCGCAAGAATTGTGTTGACATATCTGCTTCTTCCGAATCTTCAATGCATTCGTCTTCATACTCGAATTTTTTACTTGAAAATTTTTTACCACGTTCGTTTAGCTGATCAAAGGTTTTTTCATTCTTTCATTGACAGCTCCTTCAATATCTTGAAATTTTGTTCTCATCTCCAACTTACTTTTTTCAGCTAACAGTTCGAGATTGGATACAAAATCAATTATCAAGTTCTGTGGATCCTTGTTGTACAAAAAGATGGGTTCGTCTATCAGATTTGATGATATGGAGACTGAAATGGGGACATGTTTTCCAATCCAGGTAGTAGTTTGCGTCTCTTTTAGTTCCTCTGTAGGAACACAAATCGATTCAAAATCGAAAGTTGCTAGATTATTGAAGAGCTTGTTATCTTCAGAAACTGGAAGATTGAATCCCTCTAGCTTTTCAAACAGGGTTTCGCAAAGTTCATACACGTTGTTTGAGTAAATATGTCTCACTCGGTCCTTACATCTCAGGAGTTGCTGATTGAAGTGGTCTGATTTGTGGAAAAAGGTGTCACAGCTAGGGCATCGAAAGCACTTGAAGAAACTATCTATATCATTTGTATGAATGATGTGATTGCTAAATCACAGTAGCTTAACTGTTTTATCGAATCTTCCGATACTTCTTCGAGCTAGTTCTCCTACATATTCTCCTTCTTGGATATCGAAATCGTAAAAAAAAATGTTTCTTTGCACAATTTCCTCGACAACAGGTAAGTCTTCCACAGAAACTCCAGGAAAATTTTTCGGATCATAACCAGATTTTGATATAAAATTTGTAAAGTATCTGGAAGTGTGAGAGCCGAGATCTTTGTGTCCGTTCATGTACATTGCCAATGCGCGGAAAAGACACAAATGATCTTTGTAATGTTCCTTGTCTTTGTTAGATAAAAGACAATTCACTTGCGTATGTCGTAAAAAAGTTTCGGGTAAGACAGAGTCCGGACATCCCATGGGGATGTTTTTCATTAAAGCAGCAAAAATTGTAACGTTAGTATTCAACTTGAATCGCCATTTTGTGTTCTGGCGTTCTTGGGTACATTTTTTCTACTTTTCCTCGGATTGTTATCAAATCCGCTTTCGTACAAAGTAAGTGGGATTTTTCCAACAGAGTATTGTTTTCATGGGCGTAGAAATATCGATATTCTACATCTCAATGTTTCGAAGAATAAACCCCAGTGCAATGTTGATTTTAGCGGCAGAATCGAGATTGTTCAAGACTTCTCCAAGTTTCTCGTTGATTATTTTAGTATCTAACTTGGACATTTGGAAGTTAAATAACTTATGTCTCTCATTGTCCATCTCCGTATCTACCAGAAAATGTTGACAAGCACTAAGTTCCTCCTTTAGCTTTTCACCATTTTCCCCTTCTTCTTCCACAATCTTGTTCAAGTCCGCTACAGTATTACTGGGTTTCCGTTGTTTTGCTCCATGTTCCTTTCTCTGATGTTGTTGGAGAGAGTAGTAACTTGGGAACTCTTGTTCGCAAGAAGGACAAACTGTGGACTGCTTTGAAATTGGCTGAGCATGCTTCTTCGCAACATGATAATCCATCTCCTCTTTGTTCTTTGTATAAAAATGACAGTTTGGACATTTATGTTCCTTTTGTTTTTCACATCTTTTTCGATGTCTCGCAGCATCAGCTCTCCTGTATTCTTGTGCACAGTCCTCACATTTCATTTTCTCGTTTCGGTTAAGGGCAGACATTATCTAAAAATATTTGGGACTTTACAAATGTTCCAAAATTGAAAACTTAAAGTTCCAATTGAATGAAAATACTTAATTTTTTTCTTTTCGTGAAGTGACAAAATGTAAAATTTGAAGTAAAATTCAATCGACTGTTTCTGATTGGCTAACAAAATGAATGATTTAACTCAATAAAATAAGCATATTTATACTAACAGTGACGCCTACGCAATTATCCTTTTAAGGTAATGACGTCATTCTTTGAACAGAAGTGACGTCAAAGCCTACGCAATGTTCCTTTTATGATAATGACGTCATTCTATGAAAAGAAGTGACGTCACCACTCACGCAATTTTCCTTTTATGGTAATGACGTCATTCCTTCGAAAGTTCTAGAATTTTTCAGAAATATTTTCAACCAATCATAACTAAGCAGTTTCTAGACATGACTTTGGATCCAAAATATTCATTTTTGAAGAATGTCAAATAAAAAGCATTTGAATTTCCTCGAATTACTCTACAAAAAAAAGAAAATGTTCCTTGTGGTTTCTTTATTGATAAAATAGATGTAGATTCTTACTTTTTCACAATTTTTTGGACGTTTATGTTGTCCAAAATAGAGTTCTTCGACTAAGTAAAGGTCTCTTTAGGGAAACTTATTCAATCAAAGAGTTTATTTTTGATCCACATATTGCGTATCAAAGTTTTAAACTTACTGCTGAGTTAAACGTGACTAGAAAAGAAATTTTATTTATTTTAGAAAACTTGAAGTTAATAAAAAAAGTCGTACGATAATATTTCAAAGACTCTTTTTATTCCCTACCCAACTGCCAAATTTGTCAAAACTCCCCAGCAAAGTTCTTTATTCCTCCATTTTTTAAAAAGATTTTCAAAGTTCAAAATCTTGCATGATCAGGTTTGGAATCAGATTTCTAGAGATTTGCTTTGAAAAGTTCATCAACTTTGAATTATCATCTCAAATCAACATCAAAATCAAAGAATTTGAATATCTACTCAAAATCAGCAATTTCTCATTGATTATATACAAAAAATTCAATTAACTTGATGAGAAGGCTTGCAGAGATGCTACTTTTATTTGTTTTCCTTCTTTTGTTACTTATATCGGCAATATTTCTTATTCTTACTGCAAACAACTTTTGGTCATTTATTTTTGCAATTGCTTTTGTGTATATTTTTACTTATTTGGAAGACTTAAGTCCTTAAAAGCTAAATCTTTGTCTGATTGGATACAACAACTTGAACAAAAATGAACATTTTTTGATTGGAAACGACAATGTGTAAAATGGAGCTTTGTTTCCAATTGGACACGAGTTTTCTATAAGAATTCCATAAAAGGAAACTAAAATCTGATTGAACACGACTACAATCCAAATAAGGAAAATCCATTCTGATTGGTTGAACCCACACATTCCAGTTGAAGGTACCCCTCTCTCTTAACTAAAAATTCTTTTATTTTCAACTTAACTACCGTCAACTTCCTCCTTTCTCAGCTCTAAACACATTAATTTCAACCTAATCAACTGTAAATCTTGTTTTTACTCATTAAATCAACTTGTTGCTCAAAAAGATCTTCTCAGTACAAAACAACAACCTTATGTTTTTGGTGGAATTTCCGGCTGATTTAGTACAAATCCAAGTGCGAGAAACAGTTTGTGGAGTTTTTCTTGCACAAATGGACATCCCAATCCAAGTCTGGCATATGGTGGAGGTGATGCGCAGCGATTTCAACGAACATGATATAAATCAAGTACCTCCTACGGAGAATCAACTTGGAGAAATGCAGATGATGGAGGAAGTGGCCGAGCATGTGGGAATGAACTACCCCGAAATTCCTGACTCTAGATATGTGGCTCAACCATTCGACGATTTCCTCTTTCCTTGGTACGACGATTTCCAACCCAATTACCATCGAAGAGGATGAGGGGTTCTCTGAGCCAAGAACTCCAGTCAGCGAACCACCAAGACAACCAACAGTGATGGAGGCAAGACCAGCTTTGCGCTCCATTGAGAACTTGCAAAATTCTTCAGCTGCTCGACAGCTCTTTGATTTGTAAATAAATTGGCTACTGTCTTGTGCTTTTTAATTTAATTGTTTTGCATCTAGTAAATTTATTTTCAAGAGATAGGAACAAAGAGATCATAGAAAAGTTTATTAAGAATTTTCAATGGTAAAACTTTGTTAAAAATGAAACTAATTATGCATCTGGTAAATACTTTTATAGAGTTTTGTTAGAAAGATGGCAAAAAATTTAAACAATTTTTTGCAAGCATGTTAAAAACTTGACATTAATTTTTGCACCATGCAAATATTTTCATAATTTTTTTTTTTTGCACACTTGTTAAAAAAAATAAAGAAAATCTCGCAAATTAAGAAAAATGTCATAGAATTTTTTCGCTTTTTAAAGAAAACTGAAAGAGGATTTTCTTGCACTGTTAATAATTAAAGAAAAGTCAGCAAATATGAAAATTTTTTAGCATTAATTCAACAAGTTTTTTACAATAAAATTTTGCAATTTTTGCATATGCATAAGAAAAAATAAGTTAGATTTTTGCATTTGTTTTCAAAAAAATCACGAAAAAACTTGCGTCTAACACAAAAATTTGTTGAAAAATTTGTTGAAAAAACCAAAACAGTTTTTGCATCTTGTAAAAAAGTTTGATTAATTTTTTTACAATTGTGTTGAAAAAATCAAACCAAACTTTGCATCTTGCGAAAAAACTTTGAGTTAATTTATGCACACGTGTTGAAAAGTGCAAATTTATTCGTTGAAATAACTTTTGATTTAAATAAAAACAATTTTGAAAAGATTTTTTTAAACAAATATTCAATTATTAATAGAAAAATTGATACGCTCACTATTTGCGGTACCAAAACCATCAAAAAAACACGCAACAATTTTCAACAAGTCAGTTTCATACTTTGAGTTTTGAACTTTTCAAATCCTTTCCAAAAAAGCTGATCCAAGGGTCTGAGTGGACTTAAGCTTCTGAGCAGAACTGAGATAATGTCTTTTGAATTTTTTTCGCAGCAGTCGTTTTTTTGCAACACTGGGTAATTTTTCGGGTATTCTACTTTTCAAGTTGTGTTTGACTGCACGATTCAATTGATTGAAAACTTCACCTCTTGATGAAATAATATTGAAATAAAATCAGTAATTGTATAAAGTATATATACAGTCAACAATTTGATAAGTGAAATGATATTTATCTAATCTTTGCAAAATCTGATCGAGCGATGATCCGATTAATACTAAGTGAAATTTGCAATTTTCCACTGGGCAGAATGATGAATGGTTAGATACACAGTAGTCTTGGGTGACAATCAATTTTTCATAGGAGTTTTCTGAGACAGAGATAAAAAGAGATTTTGCATTGTAGTCCGAATAAAAAGTGGTATATGCTTGGCACATAGCAGATGCCATCACCGATTACTTGTTGAAAATGATTTTTATTTATATTGAATTGCTTATATAGTAGTTCCATCACCTACGCAATGTCCATATTTGAATCATCACCTATTCATTATTCCATATAAGGTAATAATACCTTATATGGAATGTACAGTGAGTCATCTACATTTCCTAATTTCTATAAATTTACAAACATCATTATTTTGAAATGTCTACTACTGATCAGTTGGCTCTGACTCTCAAATCAAAAATGTATTCACAAAAATATATCCTTCCCAACTATATTGAATTTGCTAAGAACCAAAAAAGGATTGGGAGATTTTGTTGGTCCCAAAAACCCTACAACGGAAAAATTTACTTGAACCTTGCTTCCAATTGCTAAAGAAAAATGAATCTGGACAAATCGAGAAAAAAACCCAGCAAGTCTATCTTGGTGAAAAAGAAGCGGAAAGGATATCAGCAATACGGAATACTGTTATTCACAATGCTGAAAACATTGGACTCGTTCCTGTATTGGAACCCTATTCTGACAAAGACTCAACCATGGAGCAGGAACTTGCGAACTGTCATGCGGTGTATGACGTAGCAACATACAAGAAGAGAAGGGTGTGTGTCACAGTCAAGAAGTACAGTGTGAACAAGCCACCCTACATTCAGATTCGACTCTTCGCCGCAAAGGAGAACGAAATCTTGAAGCAAGTTGCCTATGTCAACTATACTTTGAACGAATTCAAAGAACTTGCCCAAGTCTTGGGAGATTTTATGTTTGTTGAGAACTCTAATGCTCAATAATTTTGTTGAGTGATGTTATTATAGTAATGTAATTCAAATATTCATCTTCTTGAATCATTTTTTAAAACTTCTTTGAGCTGAGCAGTATGAGTTGGAACATTGGTTTTTCTAGAAATCTTGTTTTAAAGCTTCAAAAAAAAATTGGGTTTTTTTCATATCGTCTTACAAGAAAAGTCCCAGAAATGTTCACTAACAGTTTTGGAATCTCAAATTTTACCAAAATTGCAAGATTTGGATACAGAATCACAAATTTCTCAATTTGAGTGGACTTTGCATATCGGAAGACGAAAAGTTTTTCTAAATTATCGTTCAGATAATAAGAAAATAGATCTTATAGAGTATTGCAGAAAAAGAAACACTTGGAAAAACAATCAGAAATTTCAGTTGGAAAAAAAAGAGTATGATAATTTGGTTGATTTTATCCCCTCACTTTTGTCTTATGTAGAAACATTCAAAAAAACTTGTATCATTATTGACGAATGCACTGTAGACAAAGAACGTTCAGAAATTGAATGAAATTCTAAGAAATTTTGATTTGATAAAGCATGTCTTTTCATCAAATACAAAAAGAAAAAAATTACTTTCTTTGTACCTGAATTGTTTTGGACCCAAACATAAATTTGAAAGAAATGGACCAAAAGTATCCCTTTGGGGGTCTAATTGGATACGAAAGTTCTTGTATGGATTACTTTTTTGCAAATTCAAAAATTTTCAGACTTCATGCAATTTTACATGATGCAGCTGGATCTGTGAATTCTACTACTTATAAGGGACCTGGTTATTGTTATGTTTTACCTAC